CCTATACCATCTGTACACTTCTTGTTTAGGGATTTTTGGGGGGGTTTGTGGCTTTTTTTCAATCGAGAGATAAATGGCTGTCCTAGGAAAGTGCTTCATAAAAACTGGTCATCTTTGAGCCCATGCAGAGATGACCAAATGGAGAAAAAAAAAAAAAGAACTTTTAAATATATATATTAAAAAAATGGCATTATCCTGGAAGAGGGTCATATGTCACTGGTTTCTTACCTATAACAAAAAAGGAGCTGATCCAAAAATTTTATAGTGCTCCAAAACAGTCTCATTTTTTCTGATTAATATTCATGTTTACTGATGCAGGATAAATTTGCCTTCTGTTTTAGTCCAGCTTTTAAATGTTGATTTGACTGATCCATACAGAATTTTTAAGTTATCCATGTGCTAACACATGTATTATAAGGAAATAAAAGCACAGGCTGTGACTTGTCACTGGGAGCTGTAGCCTACTCCTTGAAAACAAGATTATTCTGGCTTCAGCCAGCTCCCTGAATGACTGGGAGTTATTCCACACTAATTTTGACAAAATGCTTTCAATGAACTCTGGGACCATACTTGCACAGCCTGCTGCACTCCAGGTGTCCATCAGAAGCTGTGTGTGCTGGGCATGGATGTATCACAACAAGGTCATGCCCACTGATTATGGCTTTGCATGTAGAACTGAAATATTATTTCTGAATGTGACCTTACCTGTAACTCAGGTCAAAGCATTTGATAAAGATCTGCTTCTTCACAAGTGTCCAAACTTCACAACCCCAGTGTAAGTTTCTAAGCAACACAGTACTGGCAGATTGGCTCGTACCAGAGCCTCTTAAAAACACATTTCTTCTCACTCAATTTGTGCAACACAATGAAATCCTGCTTGAATGGGACATCACACTTCCAGTGTATTGAGAATATTCTTAGAGGAAGTTTCCATACACCAAAGGCACCAGTGAAGGAAAATATAAAGGAAAGAGGAACATGGGTAATAATGAGCAGAAGAGCTTTGAAGGGCAGTAGTTATTCCTATATTTTTAACTGCATTCTTACTAATTATCATACAGATTTAGAGACCTAAGGTGTCAGCTTAACCTTCTAATCATATGAAATACACTCAAATAATCCATAAAAGAGGAAGGTATTGATAATGAGTCTTGTAGCAAAATTCTTTCCTGTTTGTAAGGTTTCCTTGCTACATACTAAAAACTGCTGCAGTTTCACTCACCTTCTGTACAGAAAGTTCATTTCATGTTTTTATAGATAGATTTCTCAGATAAGTTCAAGTTCACCTATATCTGGATGTAACAGAAATATTCTAGCAGCAGTGATACTCTATATACTTATCATTCTCAGAAATGGGAGGAAATCATCTTGTACTCAATCTTATGGAGCAGGGGTCCTTAAAATGGGTAAATTAAAGCTTATTCCTTCATTGCCTAGGACAGTTGGCTTCAGGGGAACTTGAAGTCATGGCTAGGCTGCAATTGTTTTTACTTGCTTAACATCAGGTCAGTTGAGTGGCTTGGGACAATACTTACAACTGAATTAAACCTGATTTTAACTTATTTATGTGTAAATTCATGAAGAAAAAAAATCTTGAGCTGTTTCAGTAAGAAACTTATTACTGACAGTATTGGAGAAGTGCAAAGCTTGATTTTCAGTCTTATTTTTGTTCACATGAATCCAGAAGACACCTTCTCCTTACAAACAAAGCCTACTGGATACTGAAGTCTCTCAGACTGTATTAAATATATAGAATTTCTAAAAGCTAAATAGCAGAAAAGAATCAACATTTTGGTAAGAAAAATACAGGCCTTGTTAGAATGAAACTATTTGAGTCCTTCCATAGCCAACAGTGATGATCCTGAGAGCATCAGATCCCATAATCTCTTCACAGCAAAAGCTCTGTACTGTCTGAGGGCTATCTAAGGTTGGGATGCTTCCAAAGGCAAACTGTTTACTCAGATTTGATCATGGCTTATGTTTTTCCAAAAGACAGCTAGCTTGCTTAAGCCCTTTAAAAAAAAATCCTTTCCCTAGAGCTCATCCACTGGGTTGTTTGGGCTGAGTATTTAAAGCAGTAGGAAAGTGCCAAGTCAAAAAGCAAAGAATTTGTTTCTAAGAGAAGCAAGGAAAAGACAAAGA